ACAACCCCGTAACAATATGCGTTTTGTACTGCTGTTACACAGCACAAAACGCATAAAAAAACAAAAACAAAAACAGAAATTCAAAGAATCATGGAATTCAGAGGCGTGCTGAAAATCGAGAAAATTTGGGAGCGTTCTGGGAACCATGAAATCGGTTTCATGTGCTTGTTCAGTTTTGTCATGAGCGTACGGATAACATGTGCTATTTCGTGCAAATTGTTTTTTTGATAAGTAACTTGATTGCATTTGCAGGAACAATCAAAACAGCTTGCGACGTTGAAGAGGGAGTAGCCTGTCAGGTGGTTTTGACCAAAACATTACTGAATATGCGAGCCGGTCGTCCGGAGACAAATTCCACGGCCCATAATATTATTATGAAAATGAACACGAAGCTGGGCGGTGTTAACAACAGAGTGCACCAGAGTTATAATATGTGAGACTTTTTTTTCGAACCAACAGATACTTGGACCATTGCCAACAGAGCTTCAGGAAGCACCGGTCCACAGTGAAAGGCATTCACGTATTCTTTAAGTTCTCTTATAGCCGATTGTAGCATCCAGGTTGACCTTGAATACCAAAGTGGCGAGGGCGTACTGAATACAAAAGGCAAGAAAGAATGAGGAAAGGAGACAAGAATGGGTTAAGATGCTTCGGTCCATTAAGTCGTATATGTCTTAACTCAACACTGCGACAGGACCTCGTCAGTAAGATGATCGCAGTGTTTAATGGAAAATGAAGAGAAAAAGATAGAGGAAGATGCAAGCAAACAAAGGTGAGATTATAGGATTAGGGGAGTGAGAATGGGGTGGAGGAGGAGTAGATAAAAGAGATAACGAGGTTTAAAAAAAGATTATAAAACAAATTCATTCTGCCATCAGCTAGCTTCTTAGTCACTGCTTTAAGGAAAGAACCTTGCCAGCGCGATGGTTGATGTTGATGTATGATATTTCTCAGATGTGTGACACTTCCAAATGCAACTGTATCTCGTAGAAAGTGGATGCGAACGGGATTTTAACCTTGCAAGCATGCATGCAGAATACTAAGGTTTTTTAGTTGGCCGAAATTTTCGAATCCGGACGATCCGACACTATTCGTTGGTGTTGACGTAACACATCCACGACCAGGCAAACGTGCCAATTCGATTGCTACAGTTGTTGGCTCCGTTAATTTAGATGCCACACGGTTAGTCCCTAAAAGGATGTTTGTTTTTTTGCGATCCCTCGCTTTTCAGTGAGCTGATATTGCCCCTCTTTTAGCTATGAAACATCAATAAAAGTTCAACATCCACAAGCGGAGCGTATCGTTTACTTAGTGGATGCTCTGAAAGAACGTTTGTTGGCATTTTACAAAGCAGTTGGTACATCGCCAAAACATATCATCGTTTATCGGTAATGCTTTGATTTCTTTTTAATGTAAGTCTCTTTCTTTATTTCCCTTTTTGTGCCTCATGTATTTCGTGCACAGGTTTAAATCGAACTGTCGGTTTCCAATGTCGCAGGGATTGGAATTTACTTCGGTTTTTCAAAAATAATAGGAAATTTTTATGGCGCTGAGAGATTAGCCTGACGAGTTTGACAAAAGAAGGAGTTGGAGAGGGATGGAAGGGGAGGATGAGGGAGGAAGATGCACAAAAGTGTGAAGAGGGCTCCCCCATTTACCGTTGAAAGCAGTCTTCAACAGTGTATTGATGTGGATGAGAATTTGAAGAGTAAAATATGATCTGAGATCCCCGGATAGCCGTCTTTCGCTTCCTAGAATAGCTTTGTTTTTTGTACAGTGACGGAATTTCGGAAACCGAATTTCTGAACACACTCAAAGAGGAACTGGCATTAGTGAAAGCAGCGTGTAGAAAGCTCGATTCGGAATATTCTCCCACAGTATCGTATGTTGTTGTACAGAAGCGTCATCATACGCGATTCTTTGCTGAACCATCAGTTGCGTCTCGTTTTGGAAACTTAAGAGAGTAAGTGCTTTTTTTTTTTAATTTCTTCGTATCCTGTAAAACTCGCCGTATTGTGTGTTTTTGAGATTCCTTCTAATTGCTGAGGACTTGCAAATTGTATGGATGGCAAGAGGGCACAGGATGTGATAATATTTGCTCAAAGTAATAAATTCTTGCCTTGATACAGTTTGTGTACTTTTTATTTTCATTATTAAGTCCACCGTTTCCATAATACAGCCCGTTTTTTTGTTGGAAATTTCAGGTGCATGGGTAACATTCCACCAGGGACGACGGTTGATATGCGTGTGACCAGTTCGCACCTCTTCGATTTCTTCCTTTGCTCACACCTGGGCGCAATTGTAAGATATTAAATATTGTTTTTGGACTTCTGTGAGAGATTATTGCGCTTAATTTATTTGAAAGCGATGATAACTTGTTTCATTTTAGGGAACATCACGCCCAAGTCATTACTATGTCCTCTATGATTCCTGGAATCTAACACCAGATGAATGGCAGGTAGGTTTTTCGTTTTTTTATTTTTTGAAAAAATGAATAGCAAGCAATTCACCATGTTTCAGCACCTGACTTTTGCCCTCTGCCATGTCTATGCTCGATGCAATCGATCTGTTTCAATCCCGGCGCCAGTGTATTATGCGCATCTTGCATGTGCCCGCGCCAGTATACATGATGATGCATTGTTAGTTTGCGTTTTTTTCAGTGTGTTGATTTTTTTTAGTGTATTTTTGAGGTATGCAATTTGTTTAGTTTTCTCTCCCTTGCAGGTTCGGCATTCGAGGATCAACAGAATCAAGAGACGCTGCTGGTGGTGCTCCAGCACGCTCGGAGCAGGAAACAACCCGAACGCATCAAATGGCACTGTGTGTAAATGAAGCATCGCCACGAATGTATTTCGTTTAAAAGAAAATATAGTCACTCTCATAACCGGCATCTCATTCATATTATTTGGCATATAAGCATAAGTGCAGAGCTTTTTAATGTTTTTCCTTTATCACTGATGGGACAGAAACGCAGTATGAGGAGACCCGCAGATGTTTGTGCGATGACTCAACTCTAGAATCACGGCCGGCGCACAGCAA